AGGCCCCAGCGGGCGAGAGGCTGCGGGGCGCCGTCCTCCCCGCGAGCCCGCAGACAGGTCGTCCAGGGCGGCGGCGCTGACCGGCGTCCCCGCCCCTGCCAACCCAGGTGATGGCGCCGGTTACTGCGTCTGGACCTGTGCTCTGATGAGCCGAGCCGATAATTGTAACAATAAGCAGAGCCAGCGGAAAATGGACAGACAGTGAGGAGCTTTGGAACGTAAAAAGCGGTGTTTCGGCCTGCACGCTCGACTGCGGATCTCAGCCTGCTCGCCCCTCCGCCTGTGTCTCTGTCTGTCTCTGTCTCTTTTTCTTTTCGGTACCGAGAATCGGATTCAGGTCCTCGTGCTTGCCAGGCAGGTGCTTGTGCCTTTGAGCTGTATTCCCAGCCCTCTGCCTCTGCCTGTCCCGGCCTCTGTCCCCCCGCCCCTTTGGAGTGGAGCCCAGGGCCCTGCGCCTGCTAGGCTGACTTTGGCTCAGGGTTCTGGGGTCTATGGTGGAGGGACGGTGTCGGGCGTGGCCGGCTGGCAGGGTGTGCTCCTGTCGTCCCTTCTGCCTCTCCCCTTCCTACGGAGCCGCAGGTCAGTGCCCGGACTCCGCTGTGAGGGCCTTGCCTAACCGGTGTCACCCTCCACAAGGGCCACATCTACCACCACTGTCTGAGTTTCCACCTCTGGACACCTCACAGTGGTGGGTGAAAGTCCACATGTCATCCCGTGTGAGCCACAGCCGGGGCAGGGGTGCTAGTTGCACAGAGGTATAGTGAGGTGCTGGTGAATGATTTTCCAGCACAAAGTAAACATTCTGTTGGAACAGAAATGTAAGGTAAGGGAGAAAAAGGTGGCTATTAAAAAGCTGTGTGTGTGTGTGTGTGTGTGTGTTATTTAGTGGGGGTTAAACTCAGGACCTTCACATTGAGCTACACTCACCTCTTATTTATTTTTAAAATTTTGAGACAGGATATCCTCAAGCACTAAGTTGCCCAGGCTGGACTTGAACTTGTGACCCTCTTGTCTCACTCTCCCAAGAAGTTGGAATTACAAGTGTGTCGTGCCACACCGCGTCAAGGTATTGCCTTTTTTGTTTGTTTGTTTGTTCTTTTTTGGAGGCAGGGTCTCACTATGCAGTTCAGGCTGGCCATGAACTCACTTTGTAGCCCAGGCTGGTCTCAGACTCACAACCATCCTCCTGCCTCAGCCTCCCGAGGGCTGGGATTACAGGTGTGTGCCACGGTATTGCCTTTTGAACACTGATGGTGAGCTTTAAATCTCCATGACACGAGCTCTTGTGGGGTCTGCCTAAAAGACCAGTCCCACAGCTCCTTAAAACATGTCAACATTAACTATAGGTGCCCAAGGCCACGTGAACCAATCTCAAAACATTATGCAGAGTAAAAGATACCTCACCAAAGAGGACACATGCGGCCACAGCCCAGCATCCCCGTGCCACTTTCTGCCTCTGTGGATGACTCCTCTGATGCCCCAGGCGTGGCCCCTGTGGCGAGCGTCCTCTGTGCTCGGCTCCTTCGGCAGAGCCCTGCGCTCGAGCCTGGACTGTGCTGTAGCAGCACTGGCTGGTCACTAGCTCAGGCTGCTGCTGTCTCGGCCTGTGAGCTTCACTTTGAAAGAAGACAGTGAGTCGGCGCAGCTAGAGATCTCCAGGGTGGGCTGGGGAAGACAGGGAGCAACACGGGAGCTGGTGGGAGAGGGTGTCGGGCTGTGCTGACGGTGTCTCCCGAGCAGCGCTTCCAGCTTGGGGTGCGTCTAGGAACTTCCCTGTGACACAGCAGGCAGCTGTGGGTTTCGGACACTGGCAAGGTCCCCGATGTCCCTGGCGGAAGGGCGCAGGACGAGCAGGAAACCCAGGCTGCAGGCTCAGGGTTGAGGCCTAGTGTGGGAAGCCTGTTGGTGACCTTTCAGAAGTAAGGAGGTTGCTTCAGCAACAAGGTTACGTCTAAAAGAACAGTGTTAATAACAATGTCACCTCTAAAAGAAACACTCTAAGAAATTTAGAAGTAAGGGTGTTTCCCATCAAAGGAAAGGGGAAGAGCTCCAGTCTGGCCCAAGCTCCCCTGACATTCTCTTGGGTCATGTTTTCTTTCTTTTTTCAGCTTCTTAAAAGAAAGCATAGTTTCATTTTTCCTTTCTTCTGGAATTTCTTAAGGCTACACATCGTCCTTTGGGAGCCACTTTGGCTATCGCCCGTGATTTTCTCACCCAGCGCCCTTGTTACGAAGTTAATGGAAGCCTGAGGCTGGGCCCCGGGTTTCCTGCAGTCTCAGCCGTCTGCAAGGCCTGACATTTCCCGAAGGCCGCCTGCACGCTGGGCTCTGCGTGCTGCGCGTGTTAAGGGTGAGAGGACGGCGGAGGTGCTCAGGCGACAGATTGGGAAGCAAACTCAACCAGCCCCAGGGCAGAAGTCAAGTCAGTCTCCCTGCCACACCCTTGACCACTGTGCCAGGCTGACTGGAGGTTAGAACTTGGTAAACACTGCCTGTTGTTAATTCCGTGATTTATGGCACCGATCAGAGACTGCTGCCGGCACAATCTGCCTTCCAGGAAGTCCCTTGGGTGCTCCGGACTCCTTACATATGCTCATTTGCTGTTTGCTGTTTGCTTACTTGGTGTTTGGAAGGAAGGTGCTTTTCCCCCTTTGCTGCACACGGAGTCCGGAGCGCCTGTTCGTTCTCCCCGTTAACTGTTCTATTAATATCCTCCCCGTCTGCTCCGCTTTGATCCGGCAGCCGCAGCGAGGTGTGAGGTGTGCCGAGGTCTCCCGCTGTGCTGTGGATCAGGGACGCTCTCCCCGCCTTCCTAGCTGCTCTCCACCGTATGTCTTGGAGCCAAAGGTTAATAACTGTGATGTGGTCTCGGCGGATGTGTCAGTGTGGCCCTGCTGGGGACCTCCCCCGTCAAGGTTCTGCCAAGCCTAGCATCTCATTCCTAATTTAATTTCCTCCGAGATTGTGTGGGAGGTTGCTCCTGAAGGATTTTAGAAAACAAAAGCAACCATCCTGGCTTCTCTTGCCAGCAGAGAGAATCTGAAGAACAGGAAGCAACAAGCCCAGGGACATCTGCGTGTGTCACGCTCCAGCCGGGGTGGCCTCTTGTTCCAAGGCCCATGGTCCTGCAGCGGTGGCTGGGGCTGCTTGGGAAGGCTCGGGTCTCATTGGTCCTCACAGGGCCATCTTGGGCTCAGTCCCCACATCCCATGGGGCAGAGGCTTTGGATTTGGTGGTTCCAAAGCCAGGTCCTGGGAGGGCGTGCGTGGGGCTGTTTGCCACCTGAGGAAGCAGAGTGAGTCCTCTGGGAGTTTTCAGAACAAGGCCGGTCCCCTGAAGTCACCATTAGCCTAAGTGTGTGAGTGCGTGGGTCCCATGGACCCCAGAGCAAGATGCACCCTGGTTGGGCGGCTGGCTTGGCAGTAGTTCCTTCATTCATTCTCTCATTCATTCATTCATCAAGTGCTGCAATCTCTCAGCTGAGGCTGGGAGGGTCCTTGCGTCCTGGGGCCTGGGAGCCCAGGGGAGGCACTGGGAGGTTGCTGCCTGGTCCCTTTGGGACCCCTGGGAGGCCGCAGGTTACAGGCTGTGGGGACACCAGGCAGGGGCCTGAGGAGGGGTGGCAGGCGTGGTGGCCGGGCCGGGGCTCAGTGGTGGAGCACAGCAGGTAGGGCACGATGGGCGCAGCTGGGCCCGGCTCCCGCTGCAGGCCACCACACGGGGCCACCCAGGGTGCCTCCCAGCCAGCACCTGCTGCTCAGACCCCCTTCCAAGTCTCACTGGGCTGGGGAAGTTTGATGGGCCCGGCCTGGTCCTGTGCCATCCCTGAGCCACCCCGGGGCCCAGCAGCCATCCCTGCACTGGCCAGGCCAGGTCAGTGCTGACCTGGCCGGAAGCTGTCAGTTGACGTGTGCTGCACTTGGGCCTCCCCTGACCCCATGGGCTCCCCAACCGGATGACGGGGCTCCCTGACCCGCAGGACAGGGAGGACGTGGGAGGGTGAGTGCTGCGGAGGTGTGGCTGGGCACACGGACTTTGCCCTGCAGGAGCCAAGTGACAAGCCAGGCACTGTGGGGTTGGCGCGGGGTCAGCTCAGGGTGTGGACTGTGCAGCCCCAGGTGCTAGGGTGCCTACTACAATGGAGGGGGGTGTGGTGGCAGGTGAGGGGCGTGGAGGCCCCTGGGCGGGGGACAGGGGCCTCTCCAGGTGTCTCTGGGAAGCCACGGGGCCAGGGACCTGCTCTGTCTCCCTGACTTGCCTGCCTCTTCCTGGTGATAGTTGGGGGTGAGGTCCGGGAAGGGGCACCCCAGGCTTCCTCATTTCTGGGTGTCGGCCCTGCCTGAGGGTCTCCACCTCCAGGAAGCCCCCTAGTCTGGGGTTCTATCTCCACCTTCTGCAAGTGCCCTGCCAGGGGGCCTGGCCCAGGGACACTGCAGCTGGGAAAGCAGCAGGGTGGGTGCTGAACCTGGGTACAGGTGGCATGTCAGGACCTGGGTCCCTGGGTGGGAGGATCATGGACGGCACAGGTGCGAGGACTCTGTGGCTGGCTCTCTTCCCCACCCTTCTCTTGGGCACCAGTAGGCAGATGGGACGGTGAAGGTAAGGCAGTCCCAGGTCCCATCTGGGAGAGGTGGGTCCCTGTGGTCCTGCTGTAGTCACCATGCAGGACTCACCTTGGTGGGTGTCACAGGGGCCTGACACCTCCAGTCAGCCTCACAGCTGCATCTGGGTCAGGGGAGTAGAGTGTGAACAGCACCCAAGCCCTGCGAGGCATTCCCAGCTGAGAGAGGCAGGAGCAAGGCCAGGAGACCTCCGGGTCCTCCCCTGTCAGCCAGCTGAGGTCATACCTGTACTGACCACACGGGGGCGCCCAAGCTCCATCCGTGGCTGGGAGGGCACAGGGAGGGGAAACAAAGTCAGGCCTGGAGGGCATCCTGGGGAGGGTGTGTGTGGACAGAGTGGGCGGCCAGTGGGGGTGGTCAACGCCCTCGAGGGAGTGAATTATGCATGATGCAAATGAGGAATTAAGGGGGTGAGGGGAGGGGGGCCACCTGAGTTAATATTTATTAAACCCACAGCCCCGTCATTCAAGAGCCTCATGAATATTAATTCCCAATTAAACATTTATATGAAGGAGATTGCTTCTCCCCTCAGAGAACCTGTCTGCAGCCCCCGGAGGCCTCGCAGGGCCTGTTCCCGGGGGCTCCATTTTGTAGCTGGTGGCCCCAGCCTGCCCTGCCTGCTGCCCCCTGCACCCGAGACCCACAGAGTGGCCCTGGTGACCCATCAGGACAGCGGCAAAGCCCCCGGCCCAGGCCCTTGCCTCCTGCTGCGAATCCGCGTGCCCAGCACTTCCCCTGAACGCGGCCGTCATGCACACCTCAGCACAACTTAGTGGGCAGAGGGTGTGGGCGAGGGCCCTGGGGAAGGGTCGGGGGGCCTCTGTGGCCGGGCTCCTGCTGGGGGCCAGTCTACGAGGCCAGACCCCCAGCTCTGCCCCCTCTGTCTCTGCTCTGTGGCTGGGAGCAGCATTCTTCGGGTGGCGCTGGGTGTGGATGTGGGTTACGGTTAGTGGGGTCAGAGTCCGAGCTCTGTCAGGCCCTCCCACGAATATGCCTGTCCCTGGGCCCCCTCACTCTGCTCTGTCTGTACCCCATGGCAGCCAGCATTTCAGACGGCTTCAGTGGGGTCTAACGTGCTCTCCCTGCACAGAGCTAGCCACTGTCCCTCCCCTGTGTCTCTGCGACTTCGGGTCACCGTTAGCTTAGGTCGGAGGCAGAGTGGTCCTTTAGGGGCATCACATGGCCGGCTGTGTCGTTTGCCTTCGGTGGCGTGAGCCAACTTCTGCTTTGTGTCTGGCCCGCCACCTGTTCCTGGCTTCTGTTCGTCTGTAGCCACTCAGCGTGGAGCAGTGTGGTTTCCTAAGGGGCCCAGAGGGCTGTGACTCGTACCGTTAACCCGGAGGCCGACTTCGGAGGCACTGTGTGCTGCGCAGGGTCTCACGGGTCTCACACAGCCCCGAAGCTTCCCCATGAGCACCCGGCCCCACGAGTGTCTGGCCACCCCGGCGTCCAAGTGCCAGTACCTGGATGGCTTTGGCTGCTGCCTGGACGGGTCTTGTTTCCCGGCGGATCACAGAGTGCAGAGGAGCAGGACTGACTTTGGCAGCTTCCTCTCGTAACGGCCCTTGTGGTTCACCGTTGCAGTCACGGCGTTTTGCCCATCCAGTCGTCCTTTCCACAGGGGTGGCCGCCGCACCTCTTCCTTCCCCACCCAGCCCTCCTGCTTCTTTTTTTGGCTTGTGGCTCTCAGGATTTGTCGGCGGAGGGTGTAAAGGGACGTCCTTGTCAGCTCCAGATCTGCTGGAGGTTGGGGCTGAGAGCGCACTCCTGCGACCCGCGTCTCCTCGCCCAAGGGCTCGGGAGGTGGTTTTGCAGACAGCAGCGCAACCTCTTCCACTGCATGTTCTGCAAGTTTAGACATCATAACTAGGTGTCAGATCTCTTCAGTCCTCTGCTGCGTCCGCCGAGACCATCCCTGTGGGCTCTGGTTCCCTGGCTGCTTTGGTTCTGGGCTCGGGAGCCGTGCCTCTCCCAGACGGACCCTGCTGACCACGCACCGTTCTTTCTAACCATTTTGTTAAATTTCATTGATTGTAAAGCACCTGCTAGTTTATGCACCTCTAAGAAAGAGAAAATGCTGCCTGTAAAGCGGTGACACAGTGCTTGATCATACAGAGTCCTACTTTATATTCATCGAACAGCTCCATTGGACTTACTTAATCATAGGATTTTATCATAGCTCACTCTTATGCATACATAAAAAGGAAAATAAAAGCAAAATAAACGAGTTCAGGCAGCCCTATAATGTCTTCACAGAGCTCAGAACTGGCGCTTCTGAGTCCAAGTCCAGCTCGGCATTGCTGGGTCCATGTAGAGATGTCCCTGCGCCCCGCGACTGAGCGCAAGGTGTGGCCTCCAAGACGGGGACGCTGGGGTCCCTGCCAGGCTGGGTGACACGGTGCTCCCGCTCTCCCAGGACAGCGTGGGAAGACTCCCAGCTGCAGTACACCCTCCTTCCTCCGATGCCTTTGGTGTTTGGTCAGCAGTCATCTGGCCACCTTGCCGCTGCTCTAGAGCAGGTGGCTTGGCCACTGGGGATGGGGGAGCCTGTTGGGGTGCAGACCCTTCTGTCCCCTGACTGGGGCCTTCCCTGCAGTTCTGCAAAAGTCACTCATGGGCAGGGCAGACCCTGTAGTCCAAGCGCATCGTTCCCAACTGGACTGCCCCCATCCCGGTGCCAGCTGCAGGTTAGGGGTCCCCGTGTCATGGCGTGGATCTGGAGGTCCCCATGAGCTGCACACGCTCACAGGTGGGGCCCTGGGAGGAGACTGGATGACGGGCTTAGAGCTGGCTTGATGTTAGGAGACAGGGCCTGGTCAGAAGAGGCGCTCACGGGGACCCGGCCCAGACCCTCCCGGCTCCTCCCTGTGCCCTCTGCTTCTGTCCACCCTGTGTGAGTCTCTGGTGGGGGCTGAACTCAGCTTCAGCACCTCTGGGGCCCAGAGCACCCCCTCCAGCCCTGGGCAGCCTTTCAGTGAGCGGCCCCACCGACTGCCCCCCTAGTGTGAGCTCAGGCACCAAGCTGCTCCTGCCACACATTGCGGCTTGGTCCGGATCCCGAGAGCACCAGACAGGCCCCTCACATCAGAGAAGGAGGCACAGGAGCAGCTGCGGATGGAGGGACAGCGGCAGAGGGCTCGGGCAGGGGCTGTGTCCAGAGGCCTGCATCTCCATTTGGAGGACAGTGACCTTGCTCTCCTGCTCCCACCTATGCTTTGATCAACAGGGTTGTGCAGCCTTGTGGGTGAGCCAGGAAGCTTGGGTCTGCACCTGCGCACCACGGGGCGTGGCCCGGGGACAGGGCTAGGGAGAAGGGGTGGGGGGCCCATCCCAGAGTCGCCACTACGGGACTCTACATTCTGCACCTAGGGGCTAGGGTTCCCTGAAGGCTGGCAGGGCCCCGGGTGTCCCTAGCTCAGAGGAGGCGCTGATGTCACAGGTCACAGGTCAGAGGTTATGGGTCATGGGGAGTCAGGAGAGGTGAGGTCGAGAGGCCCAACCAGAGCCTGCTGTGCACCCCCACCCAGGGGCAGAGGCCATGATGGCCGGGGTGAGCGTGGTATCCTCATCCAGTGCTGAAGCTCTGCCTGCAGTTCTGCCTCATTGGGGTTGGGTCTTGTGAGCCCCAGGGTGGGCCCATGATGGCTCTGGGCCCTCAGGTAAAGGGCAGGAGCACGGTGGCCACCCCTCTGAGTGAGGCTGCAGTGAGGGCCACGCCGGGGCCCAGGCACACCTTGGCCTGACCGCCAGGCCCCGTGGCTGTGAGGTGCAAACACCGTGTGTGGCTCCTTACCAGGTGGCTGCGCCCGCGGAGGAGGAGGCCCTGCTGTGTCTGCTGGTGCTTGCTCCGTCCACTCCCAACTCAGTCCTCTGCCCCACCCCTCGCCTGTCACCTGAGGGTCCTGGTTCATCTCCCAGGGCCCTGCCCGGCCTCCCTCTCTGGGGCACACGAGGTCCCAGCCCTGAGAGCTGCAGAGGCCTGGCTCTGGGCCCATCTGCTGGGTGCTCCGCACAAGTAGGACTGTGATAAAAGCAGGAGAAAAGCTCGGCCAAATGCCCCCGGCCGGGGCTCCCGGGACCAGGACAGGGATGGGGCCTGGGATCCTGCAGGCCTGTGGTCTCCACGCTGTGGGCAGGGCCTGTCCCTCCTGCACGCCTGCCTGCCAGCCCAGCTCAAGCTGCCTTGGGAGCAAGGTGGTGTCTGAGTTTGGGTCAGGGTTTCTGGGCCCCGGGCTTCCCGGACACCGCGGTGCCCTGGGGTCGGCTTTCCTGGTGGGTGCCCGACGCTCTCCTGGCTGTGCTTTGGGGGTGGGGCTCAGCCTGCTTAATTATTCAATGATTTAAATGAGAATGCAAAGGTTTTTATTGCTTTGCATGTAAAAGTTATGGAACCCGAAATATCTGGGACACGGGCGAGTTAGTGTGCCATAAAGCCTGAGCAGACAGCAGGCACTTCCTGGGTGCTGTGGCCGCAATAAAGGTCAGCGGGGAAGACAGATGGATGCGGCGTTCACGGCCAGGGCCGGGTGTGTGTGAAATTTATCCCTTTCCCTGTCCTCTAGCGGGTGTCTTAAACGTGCTCTTGTGTATATAACGTTAATTCGGTCGTAAAATAAAAGGCAGCGGCTCAGAGAGCAGCCCCTGCAGACCAGTAAATCCACCACGCCTGTGGGTGCTCGCGGGTCTGGAGTGTGTGGAGGGGGCAGGGGGCGGGGGGACTGAGGTGGGGCCCCCAGGCAACGGGGCTGAGCCCCAACAGGAGCCTCTGGTCATCTCACTCGGGCGCTGGGTCCCCCTGCCCAGGAAGGTGTCCCATGGTGGCGAGGGTGGCGGATGGTGTGGCAGGAGCAGCTGGGGGCCCCCGGCGGGGTCTCTTGGGAACCCACAAAAGGGCCCAGGAGAGAAGTGGCTCTCACTGGCTCCTCCTGGAGAGTGGGCGGTGGTGAGGACAGGCAGAATCACAGATGTCCATGGTCGCTGGGGCCTCACGCCACAGCAGAACCAGCTCCCGCGAGGAGCATCCCCTTGTGCCCCACTGCTCTGGACCTGCATGTCAGGCTCCTCCCGCCATGGCTGCCCATGGGCCCTCGTCAGGTGGGATGTGTGCTCACCTGGCCTCCCTGGTCCCCTGGGGCCAGGCAGGCACCACAGGGGGCACAAATGACAGGTGCGGGCTTGGCATCATGGACTGGGCATCTGGTGTTGATCCTGGCAGGGGTCACTGTGTTTGGAGCTTAGGTGTGATTTGGGCTGAAGAGGGCAGAGGTGGGGCCTTGGGATGGGGCTTGCGCCCGCAGGACGACACCCTGGACATGGGGAGAAGGGCCCCTGAGGACAGCAGGGCCCAGGGTCACTCGGCACAGCTCACTGGCCTCCCCTCTCTCGGCCCACTCAGGACAGGGTCCCCAGCAGTGTGGGGTGGAGCCCAGCTCCAGCAGGCCAATCTTCCTGCCTCCTGTATGCCCTTTTCCTGCCCCTCCCCCGTCCTGGGGAGACCTGGCCCTTGAGGGTCTTCTCAGACACCTTGCTCAGGCCTTTTGGAGCTGCTTGCCACCTGGGTGACCTGGGATTTCCAGGGTACTGGACTCTAAGACCCCCCTCTTCTCCCTGGTGTCTGCTGAGCCCTGACCTCTCTCCACTTCAGGTAAGGCCACGCAGAGCCAGACCTGTGCCCCGCCTGGTCCCACCCCAGCTGTGGGCTCCCATTTCAGCCCCCCCCCCGGCCTTCCGCCTCCACTGGCTTCCCTCTGCTGCGTCCTGAGGGGTGGCCGCCCACCCTGTGCAGCACAGGGTCCCTCAAGGTGACACTGGCCCCCAGGTCCCGCTGGCCACTTGGAGAAGTGGTGGCTCCTGTCTCCCCCAGGGATCTGTTGCTGGGCCAGATTCCCTGAGGTGTCAGCAGGCTGTGGGGTGGGCTGTCTGGAGGCCTTCCTCTGGAGGACAGGCTGATCATTGTGCCCCGGGGCAGACGAGCAGCGCTCGTGCAGTCAGGTAGCCTCACCTGAGCTTCAGTGTCGCTCTCTGTGACACGAGGATGGTGGTCATGGCCCTGTAAGGGACTGGTCAAAGCTGGCTCCTCCCCCTCTGGTGGGTGGTCAGGGTCTTGGAGCAGGGCCCACGCAGTACTGACCCAGGGCAGTGGTATTGGGGGGCTTGATGCAGAGGAGCAGAGGAAGGTGAGGGGCCCGCTTGCCCACCTCAGTGTGGGCTCACCGGCGCCTCCAGCCCTGTATCAGGAGACCTCCGGCCAGGGCGGCATGGGGTGTATTCCTGGCTAGGGACAGCGGGTACCGGGGACGCCTGCAGGGCCCGACGGGCAGTTTGCAGTGGTGCCTGTCCTCTGATGGCTGGCGGATGCTGTCGGGTGTTGAGCGATGTCTGGAGCCTCACAGGCGTGGGGGAGGAGATGGAGCGGATCGGGCTGAGTGTGTCAAGGACCAGGCGGGGCCAGTGAGGGCGCATTAGCAGCTCGGGGAGCTGGGGGCCTGGTGTGCTGCGCTGTGGGGGTAGAGTGGGGAGGGCTGGGCTGGGGTGTGGGGTGGCAGGACGACGAGCAGGAGCCTGTGGCCCTGGGCTCTTTCGGTGAGACAGCCCCGGTGTGCACTTTTCCCAGGACCAGGAGGCCATGTCCCCTCCAGGGGCAAAGGTGGCTGGGAGGGGACCACGTTTGCACCTTCCATGCAGGAAGCAGAGTGGTGATTGGATGGCAAACCCAAGAATGCCGATGCGGAGCTGCAGGAAGGGTGTGCGCCCACTGCACATGGGCCTTCTGGTCCACAGAGGTGTGCAGGTCGCGGTCCTTGTGTCAGCTGCCCCCGAGAAGGCCAGAGTGACCGCTGTGTGCCCTGCGCGGGTGTGTCTGCCATGCTGGCCGAGAGGCAGCAGTGGTTTCCAGCTGGCATCTCTTGGGCCTGCAGTGGCTGAAACATGGACGGGTGCTGCTCCGGGTTCTTCCTGGACTCACTGGCTCTTGCTGCTGAGGTTTAGGGGGTGAGCAGAACACCTTGGTCAGGTTTTCCTGGGTGAGGAGGGGAGAGTCCTTGAGGTGAAGGTGGGCGCATGCCCAGGGCTGGGACAGGGTTTGCGCTGGCTCCTCATGAGAGCCATGTGCCATCCGGGATGGGAGAGCAGCGTGCCTGTCCTCTGAGGCCCGGGTCTCCTGTCTGGGAGCAGGATGGAGGGCTGTGGGCGGCAGGGCCGGGCGTCTGTCCTGAGGCTGCCCCTCCTA